GTTCTATTTATAATTGGCTTGAAAACGTGTACAAAGTCAATGGGAAATATCAAATATTCAAAATTCAAAAAGAAATCTCGTGTTGACGTCATTATCACAAATTTCTTTCAGGACCATCCTTGCATGATTGTCCAAAGACCTGCCAAGTTTGAAGTCAACCGAAAATTGCAAGAGGGTAGAAGTCCTTCCTGCTCAGAAAGAAAACCGCCGTTATGGAATGGGATTTGATGTGGAAGAAGAAATAAAAACGCAAGGTCTATGTCCGTTTGCTGGGACATATACTTTTGGAGATATAAGGCTTTGAAGGATACACTTTGTATGTCACATAACCTGTCTATTGATGACCTCATCATCCCGTGAGGTCAATTTTCGTCTATCAGACATCCTCTTCCAGATATCTGCTAACTTCCAACACGCTGTTCCATGTCCTTTTGGAGATACAAGGCCTATAAAGAGTGCACATTTAATGTCACATGGGTTGTCTCCGGATGACTTCATCATCAGGCTAGGGTCAATATGCCTCTAAAGCGCTACGTTTTCAAGAAACCTACAAGATTTAAAGCTGATTGGATATGTATAGGGCCTTGAGTGTGCACGTTTAATATCACGTGACTTGTCTCCTGATGACGTCAATATCACATGAGGTCAATATACCTCTAGAACACTCTCTTTTCAAAATATTTGCAAGATTTGAACCCGATCATAAACGTTCTTCAGGGGATATGGGGCCTGAAAGAGTGTACCTTTAATGTCACGTGACTTGTCTCCTGATGACGTCATCGTAACATAAGGTCAATATGCCTCTAAAACACTCTCTTTCCAAGATATCTGCAACATTCGAACCAAATTGGGTATACGCTTTTGGAGATATTTTACTTTAAATGGTGCACCTTTAATGTCATGTGACTCGTCTGCTGATGGCATTACCGTCACGTGAGGTCAATTTTCGTTTCTAAACCTTCCCTTCCTAACTTCTTGTAAGGTTTCAACCCAATAAGACATGTACAAAACAATACATAATACAAACAATTATACTTACAGCGGAAAAGGCATGCACAGATAAGATTTTAAAACATTTGTCCCCTTTGGCGTTCCATATATGCGATCTGCACTCGGCAGCACGTGGTCGGCATTTTGCCAAGTCCCGAGTGTAGTATATGCCCCACGCACTCTGCGTCATCTATTTTGCAGGTAGATATTTGGGGTCCACAGACACACAGTAGCATATGCACAGCATTGTGCGAAATGGGATTTCCGAGTTGGCAATTTATATTTTAAGGGGTTTTTTGTCAGTGGCGCTTCATGTGTATTAAAAAGTACACCAGTTATGCACTTCATGCAGCTGACTTCAATGTTTTACTTGTCATCTAATGCACAATTCATGCTTATATCTCGTACGATTGATTTTTTACCGGATTTTGAAGGAAAAAAGAAGTTTTTATCGTAACTTCCGGTCTATCTGATGACGTCATCAGCCCCAATCGTTACACACGTGTTGACAGGGTAAAGATGATCATATACATCAATTTTCAGTAGATTCGGACAAACTTCGCCACAAACATCTATTCAAAATTCATTTTTGGGTGTTTCTAACCTGTCGGCAGAGGGCGCTCGATAATTAGGTGATGTCATCAGTAAATGATTTGAAGAATACAGTACCCCGACAGACCAACATCGTTGAAAACAACTTGATACCTATTACCATTTTTTTTAACGATAGACCACTTCCGGTTTCGACCGGAAGGAAGGGCCAAGTGATATGACCCAGGCAAGATGAATTCAAGACCGCATTTTATCCTGCCACTTGCTGCAAATTGAATGTTGGAGGCCACAGTTGATTTGATATAGATTTTTATAAATTTAATCTAAAAAATTATTAACAAAAACAGTACCTGTTCGGCCGGTGCCAGATGAACTGCTTTATATTTCATTTAGGCTTTACAAGCCATCACCAAGCAGCCGCAGCGAGTTAGTAGCTCATTTTTTTTTTGTAAGTGGCCCTTACATACTTCTGCATGTGGCACAGCGATGTATACCATGTTGTTGTGTTGTCAAATGACTTTGATGTCCTTCAATTCAAACAATATCTTTCGTGTGTTCAGGATTAGCGCCCATGAGTGCAATATTGGGATTCGGACTCGACAATATGGACTCCTACTTGAGCCAGGTTCGGACAAAATGGACTTGGAGTTGGCTCGGACTCGGTCCATCGTGGACTCGGCTTGGTTTGGACTTATTATTTGGACTCTACTCCATTACTACCATTCATATAGGTTTGGTAAGGATCCAATGTTGCAAAGACACTAAAGTCGTTGGCTGAAGGAAGGTGTACGAATTGACTTCGCTTTTTGTCAGAAGAGAAAACACGTCATAGGAAAAAGTATCCCTTTTTCGAAAACAAAGCCCAAATAGAGACAGACAACAACCACGACAAAACGCATACTTTCTCAAGTATGGATTATTTTATAGCCATAAGACAAGATTCCGACCACACACCAATACCAAGCCTGTTTGCGTTTTGGAGGGCTCTGTAAAATGAAAATGTGTCCGAAATCGGCTCTTAAACAAAGTAAGACATTTATTTCAATTTGTTGGATTTTTACTTAAACTAATACTACCACCTCAGAAGCCAGACCCAAGTCGGGTCTCGGAATAGAGCGGGTATACAAAAGTTATATCCTTTTGCAAGTTTGTGAACTCCATTTTGAATAATGGTGTCATTTTACTCGCAACTACCGACGGGAAAGAATGTGTCACTGGCTGACGAAGCAATCTGTTCAACTGAGACATTTTCTATTTAATGTTTTACAAAAGTGATGTTACCCCCTGATGATATCAATTACACCACTCTGGCGACAAAAACACCATTGTACATGACGTAACCAGGTAATACAGTAACACATACTACATAACAAAGTGCAGACTTACCTCTGTTTCCTGATCTTGAGAAGGGGGTTTCTTCACTGAGAACTTCTGCAAAAGTTCACCTGAGAGAGTTTAAATGATGTAAATGTTATTTTCAATTAAGCTAACAGAATATTCATATCAAGATAAATGTCTCATAATTGGGAGGCAATTAAATGGAGCAGTGAGAATGGAATAAGGCTCCCGTTACAGTGCAAAATCCTGCAGTTCCCTCAGGCATCTCTAACAGGCAAGTTTTTCATTAAATGACACAAAAGTTAAATATTAAAAAAGGCTTTTGATATTCGACTTTCACCCTCACTGCGTTCGCAAAGATATAATCAAAAAATCTGAAAGTCCTCCCATGCTGTCCTAGTTTGCCAAAAGGTCTCGGAAATATTGTGTGGAGAGTTAACCGAGGTTTGAGAACAAGATTTGTCCAATTTTGAGAAACCTATGGCGATTCAAATTTTAAAACAATCTCACTGATAACAATGTATATAAAAACGTGCTCCATTTTAGGGACCCCTCGATTCTCCCAAACTACTACACATCAACTGACTCTAACGTTGAAAAAGAGCTAGGCGCGCAAAAGCGCCCGTCCGCCTGGTGGTAAGCGTCTTGTGTGGGAATTAGGCAAATTAAATTAAGTAGAAACTATGATCACTCATAGAAAACGTAATGTTCTGACCTCTTGTCCTGATTTCACGGACAATAGGATGCAGGGCACGCATTAACTTGCTGTTCACCTTCACCACCCACCAGTTAATATGACGGCTATCATGAATGGCCACTAGCATCTGCTCAAAGTGACACAATAATTCTTCAAATGTTTCCATGAGATGTTCCAGCATAAGGGTTGAACTGTTTGTTTGTAGAAGCATTGCGTCGAAAGTGGTTTCGAACGAGGAGGAAATGAGAGAAAATATTTTTTGATCTGTACTTGTACGATAAAGACCCTCTCGCTCAATCTCAGTTAACACACGCGTCTGTTCTAATATGAGTTCAAGCTGTTTAGAAGTATCTGCAGATTGTTTAATTCCTTCCACAGTTTCAGCTTGGCCTAAAGTCCCTTCCTCTTGCTTGATAACAGACATTCTCTGCAGCAGTTTCTTCTTTCCCTCCTCTGACTCTCCTTGACCAGGAGTCTTCTTCTCTTGCTTGGTACCAGTCATCTTCTGGTACGTCATCTTTTGCATATTCAGCAGCTCCTGCTGGGCATCAACTACTTGCCGTAGGCTATCAACACGACTATGTTGGTCGGTAGACTTGATTGCTTGTTTTCCTTTGCATACCTGACTTTCCAAAAGAAACAGGAAGGTTTCGGCATAAACTAGAATTTCGTAACATACGAGTGACTGACAGTCACTGAAGTCAAGAATCCGGTGCCAAAATGGAAAATGGGGCCAGTCCTCCTGTACTTGCATCAGTTCTGTCAAAGCGTTAAGAATCTCATAGCGCGAGCTGTTGTCGTCAGACTTGGACCTGCCCTGAAGTGAGGTCAGTCTATTTTCTTCCAATTTACTTAGCAGTGTTTCCTCGCGAAGAAGTTCTCGTTTCAACGCCACCAACCTATTTTCTGACCAAAGAGCTTGCCTTTTTACTCTGAGCACAGACCCACTTGTATATCCTTTCTGTTCTGAGATGACAAGCAGACGTTTCTTGTCAAGCTCTAGTTTGTGTGTTGTAAGGAAATCCTTTTGCTCTTTCAGCTGGAGAGACTCTTGGCCTGCTTCAGAGAGACCACGCCGTCGCAAACGCCCGAACTTCTCTCGAAGGTTTGTTGCTCGTGAACGAATCTGCAAGTGGAACAGTTTAATAATAGAAATTTGTTTTAATGCATTTCAAATCATGGACCACAGCAAATTGTATGATTATTTGGCATTTTTCTTGTTTGCTCTCCACATAAAAGAGGTAGGAAAAAATTCATCTCTTTGAGGCGTGGTTAAAATGGTTGTTCCACTGTTTCACTTTTTAATTCTTCGACCTTTGTATCGATCGGTTCGAATATATTCAACGCTATAGATTTTCCAATTTCCCACGACAGTTCCTCAGGTTAAACATAAAATCGGCTTTGCCATATCGGAAAGTTCATGTCCTTAAATTAAATATTTAATTGATTCAAAGGATTGTGCAAGTAAAAAAGATGTCATTTATGTATCAGACTTAGGATTCCAGTTCCATTTAAATAATCGAAAACATTTTAGTTTGTTAGATGAACTGTTGTATGTTTCGGGCAACCAGCAATATCTTCTTTTTAACTGACGATTGGTGGGATTCATCTTCCTATTTACATTTTGGTGTCCTTCGATTTGATTTTTCACTGTATGGATATGTGTTATAATGTATATACCCCATTTTTTATCTCCATTTCAAATGCGGCCCACATACATACATACATGCAAACACTGTACCCCACTGGGCTTGTACATCTGTATATATCAGTGATAGAGGACTCCAGTCCATACACAAGTCTGGACCCGGAGTCGAGTCCAATTTTGTTTGGACTCGTGACTCGGCTTGGATTGCGGTCGTTTTGGACTCGGCTCTGATGGGAATTCGGCTAGTGGCTCACTCGGGTTCGAATCAAGTCCAATCAATAACTGTATTTGAGATTCAGAAATTCCATTGGAAATCCTGTCCCGCATCCGTTGTCCATAATTGATTGTTCATGAACACTTTCTAGTCTAGGATGATGGCAAGCATGTGTAAAAACCGGGCAACAGTTTCGAAAGAGTTGCCTTTGCAGTGCAGTGTATAAACGTTTTTCATGAAGGACTGACTTGCAGCTATTCTTTCTCTTGTGACTTGTGCCAGTCATCATTGGACAACAGATTCAGAGTTACAGTGACATCATAGAACTCCTTCACACACATTTAGTCGATACTTCATTTATGATCTTTTTTATCTGTAAATATAGAATGTTCAGATTAAAGTTGGTGAACAAAAGGTTTGTTTATCATTTTGGAATCACTCAACAGGTGAAAATTTTAGACATGCTCTGACTGGCATGATTTTTTTGTGCACCTGACTAATGTAGCTACATAAAGAAATAGGCAAAGTTGACTGGTGACCTTTCCACCTTTTTATGCACAAATTCATAAGTACATGTACTGTACATGCCGTACACACGCACGCACCAAGTTTAATCATTTGTCTTGCACGTATTGCCCTCACTGTCAGTTCATCAAAACATGTCCCTGTTACAGATTCTCTAGTAAGGTGTGCACAGAGAAGTTAAGAACAGCATCAGTTGTTTTAAGGAAGTTGGGAAACATCCTTCAAAGTAAGTAGGGCGCCTGTCAATTCGGTCGGTAATCAACTCAGTCCGAGTCAACTACAACTATACAAAAGTTATATCCTTCTGCAAGTGTGCGAACTCCATTTTGAATAATGGTGTCATTTCATTCGCAACTACCGACGGGAAAGAATGTGTCACTGGCTGACGAAGCAATCTGTTCAACTGAGACGTTTTCTATTTAATGTTTTACAAAAGTGATGTTACCCCCTGATGATATCAATTACACCACTCTGGCTACAAAAACACCATTGTACATGACGTAACCAGGTAATACAGTAACACATACTACATAACAAAGTGCAGACCTACCTCTGTTTCCTGATCTTGAGAAGGGGGTTCCTTCACTGAGAACTTCTGCATAAGTTCACCTGAGAGAGTTTAAATGATGTAAATGTTATTTTCAATTAAGCTAACAGAATATTCACATCAAGATTAATGTCTCATAATTGGGAGGCATTTAAATGGAGCAGTGAGAATGGAATAAGGCTCCCGTTACAGTGCAAAATCCTGCAGTTCCCTCAGGCATCTCTAACAGGCAAGTTTTTTAAAAAGCTTCCATTAAATGACACAAAAGTTAAATATTAAAAAAGGCTTTTGATATTCGACTTTCACCCTCACTGCCTCATCTTTTGCATAATCAGCAGCTCCTGCTGGGCATCAACTACTCGCCGTAGGCTATCAACACGACTATGTTGGTCGATAGACGTAATTGCTTGTTTTCCTTTGTCTACCTGACTTTCCAAGAGAAACAGGAAGGTTTCGGCATAAACTAGAATTTCGTAGCATACGTGTGACTGACAGTCAGGGAAGTCACAAATCCAGGGCCAAAGTGTAAAATCGGGCCAGTGTTCCAGTAGGCCTACTTGCATCAGTTCTGTCAAAGCGTTAAGAATCTCATAGCGCGAGCTGTTGTCGTCAGACTTGGACCTGCCTTCAAGTGAGGTCAATCCCTTCTCTTCCAATTTACTTAGCAGTGTTTCCTCGCGAAGAAGTTCTCGTTTCAACGCCACCAGCCTATTTTCAGACCAAAGATCTGGCCTTTCTTCTCTGAGCACAGACTCACTTGTATGTTTCTTCTGTTCTGAGATGAAAAGCGGACGTTTCTTGTCAAGCTCTAGTTTGGGTGTAATGAAATCCTTCTCTTCCAGCTGGAGAAACTGTTGGGCTGGTTTACGGAGTAAAGGCAGTTGCAAAGGCCCGAACGTCTCTCGAAGTTTTGTTGGTCGCTGTCCACATAAAAGAGGTAGGAAAAAATTCATCTCTTTGAGGCGTGGTTAAAATCGTTGTTCCACTGTTTCACTTTTTATTCTTCGACCTTTGTATCGATCGGTTCGAATATATTCAACGCTATAGATTTTCCAATTTCCCACGACAGTTCCTCAGGTTAAACATAAAATCGGCTTTGCCATATCGGAAAGTTCATGTCCTTAAAGTAAATATTTAATTGATTCAAAGGATTGTGCAAGTAAAAAAGATGTCATTTATGTATCAGACTTAGGATTCCAGTTCCATTTAAATAATCGAAAACATTTTAGTTTGTTAGATGAACTGGTGTATGTTTCGGGCAACCAGCAATATCTTCTTTTTAACTGACGATTGGTGGGATTCATCTTCCTATTTACATTTTGGTGTCCTTTGATTTGATTTTTCACTGTATGGATATGTGTTATAATGTATATACCCCATTTTTTATCTCCATTTCAAATGCGGCCCACATACATTNAAAAACTCCTTGACTATAGACACAAACCAGAAGTTCTAAAACACAATTTTTACCGATGGGATTTAAAATTGGTCGGAGCCAATTTGAGATATTTAAAGTTGAATTTGTCCCAAAATTGCTGTTCCAGTATGGAAAAGTCACTACTCCCATATGTGGTAATACTCTAGACTGACTAGGCAAACCAGACAACTGTAGAAAATAACGTTGTGAGCATGTAGCGAGCTCCCCCCTATACGCACACAGAAAAAAAAAACTGCCAACGAATTTAAGTGGCATTTTCTCAAATTAAAGCTGAAATTTGATCAGGTCTTTTTCACATTTTTCAAGGGGGGGGGGGCTTCACAAGAAAATTAGGTGTAGCTGCGTTCCAGCAGCTACCAGTACAATATTAAAAAATGTCAAATGTGTGGGGGGCTCTCAGTTTCACGGGCATCTGTTGGGGGAACATTCCCACCCCACCTTGCGCCTCATCATGCCAATGCGAACCTACCAAAATGTCCTACACGAAGGTAAGCAAATATATCGTCAGTTGGTCCAAGTTTCCTGTTATTCTGTTAAGTTGGGAGAAAAAAAATGTACTTTTTCGATCAAACGTTTAACCGGATGATTGCTGTCAAGCTCTAGTTTGTGTTTAATGAAATCCTTTTGCTCTTCCAGCTGGAGAGACTGTTGGCCTGGTTCATAGAGACCACGCCATCGCAAACGCCTTAACTTCTCTCGAAGGTTTGTTGCTCGTGAACGAATCTTCAAGTATAGGTAAGTGGAACAGTTTAATAATAGTTTGTATGATAATTTGGCATTTTTCCTTTTTGCTATCCATATAACAGAGGTATGAAAAAATTCATCTCTTTGAGGTGTGGTTTAAATGGTTGTTCCACTGTTTCAAATTTTAATTCTTCGACCTTTGTATCGATCGGTTCAAAAACATTCAACGCTATGGATTTTCCAATTTCCCAGGACAGTTCGTCAGGTTAAACAAAAAAATCGGCTTTGCCATATCGGAAAGTTCATGTCCTTAAAGTAAATATTTAGCCAATCCTTGATTTAAAGGATTGTGCGAGTAAAAAAGATGTCATTTATGCTACAAACTTAGGATTCCAGTTCTATTTAAATAATCAAAAATATTTTAGTTTGTTAGATGAACTGTAGTATATTTTGGGCAACCAGCAATATCTTCCTTTTAACTGACGATTGGTGGGATTCATCTTCCTATTTACATTTTGGTGTCCTTCGATTTGATTTTTCACTGTATGGATAGGTGTTATAATGTACATACCCCATCTTTTATCTCCATTTCAAATGCGGCCTGCATATGTACATGCAAACACTGTACCCCACTGGGCTTGTACATATTTCAGTGACAGAGGACTTCATTCCACACACAAGTCTGGACTCGGAGTTGAGTCCGGTTTTGTTTGGACTCGTGACTCGGCTTGGATTCCGGTCGTTTTGGACTCTGCTTGGATGAGAATTGGCTAGTGGCTGGCTCGGACTCGAATCAAGTCCATTCAATAAATGTATTTAAGATTCAGAAGTTCCATTGTCCATAATTATTTGTTTATGAACTATCACTTTCTAGTCTAGGATAATGACAAGCATGTGTAAAAACCGGGGAACTGTTTCGCCAGAGTTGCCTGTGCAGTGCAGTGTAAAAACGTTTTTCATGAAGGACTGACTTGCACCCAATCTTTCTCTTGTGACTTATGCCAGTCATCATTGGACAACAGATTCAGAGTTACAGTGACATCATAGAACTCCTTCACACACATTTAGTCGATACTTCATTAATGATCTTTTTTAGCTGTAAATATAAAATGTTCAGATTAAAGTCCGTAAACAAAAAGTTTGTTTATCATTTTGGAATCACTCAACAGGTGAAAACTTTAGACATGCTCTGACTGGCATCAATTTTTTGTGCACCTGACTAAATGTAGCTACGTAAAGAAATAGGCAAAGTTGACTGGTGACCTGTCCACCTTTTTTTACACAAATTCATAAGTACATGTACTGTACATGCCGTACACACGCACGCACCACGTTTAGTCATTTGCCTTGCACGTCTTGCCCTCATTGTCAGTTCATCAAAGCATGTCCCTGTCACAGATAATCCATTTAGGCTTTACAAGCCATCAACAAGCAGCCGCGGCCTACAAAACGCAAATTGCAAATTCTCTAGTAAGGTGTGCACAGAGAAGTTGCGAACAGCATCAGTTGTTTTTAAGGAAGTTGGGAAACATCCTTCAAAGTAAGTAGGGCGCCTGTCAACTCGGTCGGTAATCAACTCAGTCCGAGTCAACTCGGTCCCAGGTCAATTCAGTCCTTAGGGAAATATTCTACACACCCAAAAACTTACATTTTCCACATTTTCCCAAAATAGCCAATAGCCAGGCCTTTATAGTCGAATTGACAAAAATAAAGCATAACCAGTGAAGTCGCATCCAAGTTAAAAACAATGAAACTTTTCCATAGTGACCGACTTGACCTGGGACCGAGTGGACTTGGACCGAGTTGGTTACGGACTGAGGTGACCGTAAACATAGACATAGACCCGTGAACGTACATGGTTTTTCAAGGTCACGGCTACTCTCTCGATTTGCTTTGCAAAAGCAGACATCGCCCTCAAGAGAGTGTCTGTTTGAGTCCCGGAGTGGCATACCCTATATAACTGAAAATGCTTGTGAAAAAAGTTTCTCAATAAATACTGTAGACTAGCGTTGAAGGTTTACTGTAGGTGTTCTTTGATCAAAGGTTTTCACACCTGGGTTCAGACTCGACAATATGGACTCGGACTTGGACCCTTGTCAACTCAGCTGGGCTCGAACTCGGATTAGATGGCCGGTTACCCAGAGGGACTCGACTCCATCACTAGGGAATCAGGCCATCTCGGACCCAAACCAACTTGGACCCATGTCAACTCAGATCCACGTCAGATTAATGTAGAAAATGGAAGGGTAATCACATAATTATGTTTCCAAATCTTTACAGTTTTTTGGCTCGACTGTCCCTGGGTAATGATATTCTTACCTCCCCAATTCCGACAGGTGAGTGAGTAAGAGCTCGTCGCATTGCCAATTTTCGGCCCAACCATGCCTCCTGAAAAGAGAAACGTTGAGTTCCATATACATCTATAATCGATTAAAGTTTGATTTATTTTAAGTAAACGCAATATTTAAATGTGATCTTCATTCGATGTACTTAAAGGTTGAAACGTTTTACATCCTCCAAACTGGCATCTATAGGTGCATAGGATCGGAGGTATTTAAAAAGAACAAGTGCCATTGTCTGGCTTTCAAGCTCTGTTTTCAAATGAACCGTCTCGATGCAAGAACCCCACTTCACTGCGCAGAAAAAAGAGCGTGCTTTCAACATGGTACTTTCTTGCCAAGCCACCTCTTGTGATGTTCTATCACGCGGCACTGTACACTCGGCATTCGCAGCCGGCGAATGAAGCACATGGTAAGTGTTGTTCTCTGCTTTCATGGCATATATTAGTAACTATAAGTACGGGAACTTTCACTTTGCCAAGAAGTGAACTGAATTATGCAAATTAAGGGAGCAAACACATTGGCTTAGGTTTGCCCGTTCATAATGTCAGAAAACATGTGTAGAAGTAGGGGAGCTGCGATCGGCTTTGCAAAGGAAAACCACGCGTTCCACGTTCACATTTCTACATACATGTATAAAAATAAAATTAACCATTGGTCTTTCAGCTTCAAATTAACTGCTTTCTTAAATCTGGTCGTTTTGCCAGATGAGTGGTAATTGTAAACTTTGAAAAATAAGAGCAAAGAATACTCACTTGCTGTATAGCCTTGGTGGTACCAATTTGTTTCTTTTTTAGGGGAGACAGCGGTTGTGACTGGCCCTCTGAAAAGAGAAAATTAAGAGGGCACCTACATCAGGGATTCTATTCCTGTACACATTTAGCATGCTGCTTTTGCCTCATCTTAATTAAATGTGGACAGATTGTATGTTGATGCCTCAAACAAATCAAAGAATCTTTGTGATGATGAACGATATCCAGGTTTTGGTCATGCCATCCTCCTCATCTTACCTCATTGTCCTAATCTTCCTCATCATCATAACAGTTTTGTATACTGATTTTTGCGCTTTAGAAAATAAAAATTCAAATATTACCAAAAATACCAGAAAAAATTGACTGAAACCTAAATAAAAAGTAGACACCAAACAAATAAGTTTGTTTTCTGAAGACACTTGAATAACTTAGGGCTTGGAGATAGTTATGTGGTGATTAGACGAAATGACAGTTTGTTGGTACAAGTTAGCTGATGTAATCTTCATGATTTACAACACAAAACACTGTGAGTTCAAAGTCTTGAATTGAAAAAAAAAGCTATTGACATACCAGTGACTGATTCCATTGCGCTCATTTTTGACTCTGGGTTCCGAGACGTTTCCGCCATGACGAGACTGCCACAACGCACAGTTGTACTTGGCTCAAGTATCTGAGTTACAAATAGACGTAGTGGTTTATTCATAAGACAATCTACAAGGCCATTCAAACAACAGAACAAAAAGGCTCCAAAAGTATTCGATTCTTTCCCGAAAGAATGTAGGATACGTCATCAAAATTTTCAGGAGTGAATAAACAAACTCCGTGATTAACACATTAAGGTACTGCATAACAGTCTGTAACACCTTTGTTCTTCCAAGTTTAAAGTAAGGTTTAGTTTGGACAACATGGGTCCATCAAACATAATTTCTGTCAGTGAAAATTAGTATTAGGCTATAACTGGGCTACAGAAAAAAGAATACACAAACGTATCAAGGTTTAGAGTGCAGAATGAGTGAGGATTTGTTCTTAAACGATTTACAGTGTTTCCATCAGCAATATAATGTGGAAGATACTGTAACGAAACATTGGATAGACAAGGTACCAGTCTCGTCCTGGTACCCACTGTGGTGGTACTGCGCACGGTTCATCAGTGTAAAACGCTGCGCCGCGCCCAGCTCGCTCCCCGTAGGGGTTCTTTCCTTGCTTTACACCAATGAGGACCGACCGGGTTTAAACCTGGCTTGGCCCAGGCCTTAAGTGCATTTGGTTTCCAGGCCATACTCACTCTCGCAGGTTGTCTCTGGGTACTCCAGGTACTCCAGGTTCCTCCTGCCTCTAAAACGGGACCTTCTTCCTAACGCCGTAATGTGATGCTGCTTAATAAAGATTATGAATAAGCGTATAGTTATTGGCCAAAATAGCATGAGTATCTGAAAGCGCCATTAAAACAAAACAGCAGCTCGCTCTCTTTTTGCGCCTGGCTCTTGTTCGTTGAGTTCCGTTTTGTGCTTAGCTTGAGCAGTGTTGTAAGCAGTTTGGGCGATTCCCCGCTGCGTGTGGAAGGGAACCTTCCAGACGGCTGGTACCATGACATCGCTCTGGTGGGCCGATTCGTTTCGCCAAGCTGTGTGATTTATGTTAAGAATTAACCCAGTACAAGTTGATTCCTAGTTAAAAGTCGATCGCCTTCGAAGGCATAGGCATTGTCAAAACAGGCACAATAACCCATTCGAAAAGTTACACCAATAAATGATCGGTGTTTTCACGAATTAACAAAACTCAAAATCTTGCGGAACGGACAATCCGAGATAAAGTTGTTTAAAAACAACAGCTTTTTAGATCACTTTTATGTTACGGATTGAGCTTTTTTGTTTTACAAAGTCATGAAATGTAAGACTTGGGCAATGCTAATCCATACTTAGTTGAAGATATATTGTTGTAACCAAAGAATAATTCATTTATAACAATTAATAAAGTTTTTTTCACTTCGTTGAAACAGAAGAAACACGGTGGTCCCTTCTTTCCTATAGCGTTATACACACTTTTGTCACATCGTATAAAAAGCGCTGTTCCAGAAAATTGCCAACATGCCAATAGGCGTTCCTGTATATTTGATCACATGCACCCATCACATTGATCACAGTGATCACATTGTGCATGTTGTCTCTATTTGTGCTCTGTTAAGGATGTAGATTTTTGTCACTTCCTGAAACAGAGAAACACAGAGAACAAGCTTTTTTGTCAGTTGGTTTTTACAGTTGCCAGGAAATTAAACAAAATTTTGCTTGGAAACTCGGCTAATTTTTTCTTTGGATCAAAGGAAATAAAATGGTAGAAAAAACTACAGATCGTAAAATTATTGATTTTCTGGGGTTTTATCACTTTGTAAAAACACCGGCGAAATGTGTCCCTAGATTTCCCTTGAGCCTAGTGAGTGTAAGTGTTCTCTGATATGCTGCGGTGCCCGGGGGTATACTTCTCCCCTCAAGAATTACGTTCCGGGGTTTTCCTGATGGCCGCTCGTCGGGAGGGCCTAAGCTTCCGCGTTCGTTTGGTGGCACGCCTCACTATCCGTGAAGGCCGGAGGTGAGCTATGATATTATTATAATTACGAATAACATTTTTATAATACTGACGCTTTCAATACCTGCAGTAAGCAACGTATACCAAGGGTGGACAAGTTGCTCATCTCTTTGAAGGATATATTGATCGGATTGACAGATTGTTTTTAGAAGCAAACACTCACAAGCACTCGAACCATCCAGTCTCAAATTGACTTTAACATGATAACTGCAGTTTAACTTTGTCTCGTTTGAGTAAGGTTACAAATTTATCATTAATTTTGCTCTTCGTATGATGCTATCTTTATTTTAAGGGATTTTCTGCTATAATTAAAAGACTCTTTTCAAATGAGTCTTCACCTGTTTATCTTTTTAGGAGATTTTGATTCGATTTACAAACTTGTGAGAATTTGATACTTGATAATTTAAAGATTTACCTTATTTACACTGATACATCTACAGGAGTAATGATTCACTGGTTTTACTCGGAATGTTGGACATTTTATTCGCCTGGTTATTTTGTTGTCCTGCAATAACATTTATTTCTACTTTGCATATTTTATTACTATGCATTCTTTCTTTTTGGAATGAGGTTTATACTTTGGCGTGTATAAGGACATCACACAAAGAAAGTTTCATGTGTTGGTGGGACCTTGAGTTTAATGCTTACACTCAAACAGGAAATAATTCAGTGGAATTGAATCGACATTCTCACATTTTGACATCTCACGTGTTATAATAGCACTAATTTGGATGAAGCAGTTGTCTTCTAAACGCAGAAGGACCCAGATTCAAAAGTTAAACTTAACCTAGTACCAACAAAGTAAGGACTGGGAACACAATGCATAACAAAAACATGACAATCAAGTTTTAAAGGCCATCTTTAATCAAAACAAATCATGAAATTAAAGTTTCTTGTCAAAAATTTGTCGTGTTAGGCGGTGACGTCGCATAGGCCTACTATTGGTTTTGTAGGATTCTAGGAACTAAATGCCGTGTAAATATAGTTTGTGTGTATTCTTGTGTGATATTCCCAGAAAGGTCGTGGCACGAAAACGTTAGTGAACAACGGTGGTTTATTTAGGTTTAACTACCATGGATGGCTTTAATCTGTCCTAGTAAAAATGTATAATGCGATTCATTTGGCTGGAAGGGAAAGCGGAACATTTCAGTTTCTAAGAGAAGGCACATTTCTGATTTTGTGCCATAGCACCAAAGAAAGTCTAACCCACGTCTGACGGAGAGTATTTTATTTTGTTTCATTTTGTTTTTTAATTTTGCAGCAACAACGGAAGACACCGTTAGGTGATCAATTTAATCAGTTTTCAAGTCGAAACCTCGCCATTTCATTCCAGAGAACCATGCATTTTGTATGAGTTCTTCAAATATTTCTATTTAATTACTTCACCAGATCATGAGTATAAGATCTGATTATGCGTTTGCATCCCCTTAATTATCATGATTTATTGCTGGTCGGGGTGATTATACAGCACACAGTTAGTTCTTTTTGCAGTTACCAGCATTTGACCCAAGGGACCCCTTTAATAACAAGAATTTTCTTATACACTTGGATTACTTCATTTCTTGTGTAATTCACGGAGTGAGTGTACAATGATTTATGAATTTACATTTAAAAAAAGAAAACGTAAAACGTCACATTTGTTACCAATGCATCAATAATTTTAACCTTTCATCATTAAATATGTTTACAAGCGATAGCTGCTTCATCTTGACTCATAAGAAGTACTTTAGGCCTCGTGTTTTGGTCGAAGCGTGGTTTTACTTAACGTGTATGGCAGAGTGTAGAATGTTTTCGAGAGTAGTGCTTCTAAACATCTGAACTGCGTCTATAAGACTGTGGAGCTAAAACTGCTTAACCTTTCCAACGTTCGACATGCATTATGGAATTACAGGACAAGCAAGCAATGCATTTCGTGTACCGCCCTATGGAAGATGTGTACCTGCAAAACAAACATCTGTTTTCATTTTATTAGATACTCTATCCTTTTTTCACATTGTGTTTTATCGCAGATTTTGAGTAACTTCACTTTCTCAAATTCCCAAAAAAATAGGGGAATAGCTTCAAAGAACACCAATTGTTGCCTGAAATTAAGATCATGAATCGTCTATTTGGCATTGGCTACTAAGAACCGTCTGTCGAAATTATATATGTGTAACAGAAAGGGCAAGTGGGTTCTTTTTTATATAAATATAGCGGGCGGTGATGTTCAACCCGCGTTTGACCGTATGGAGGTTGGGTATCGAATATGACTAAAATGTCTAGTGGTTCTGAGAAGTTTAGTTTACCTTTTTAAAAGTTACTTAACATTGAGAATAAAAAGTAGTCAGGAAAATCAAACAACTGGAGGATTAATGGGTGAAATTTGGGTGAAAATGCACCGTTCATTTTTGATGTTTTGATGTTTAAAACAGTGGTTTTTAATTTCATATTAACACTCAACGAGCCGGGAGCAGAATCCGCCCCCCCCTCCGTTGACGTTTGCTTATAGTATCTTCAGGATTAATTTCTGCGTGCTAATACTTTATGGCAGTTTTTTTCCAATGTAATAGCCTCATTTTGACCCCAAAATTATGAAAATTGAAGGTTTTCAATTTTCTGTTATTATTCTACAGTCACCTTGGTACTTTGTATTTAAATTAATATCAAATTTTACTTTATGGGGAAAGCTGTTTAGGTTGCCTAATCAAGTAGGCCCTAATCAGGTTGTCAGGGAGTCAGATATGAAATCAACATTTGGATACCGTTTCTCATGCTTACATGGGGGCTATTTGGTTTGGGTAAAATCTGTTGTGTATGCTCAATGTTTTTCCCCTGTAAGGGCGTTATTGTGTCGACCGTAACTCAAATACGCTCACCCACGAATGCATCGGTTACACAAAGCACAGCACTTTGTATGAACGTATAATGTGCACGCTGGTCATACAAATGCATCATCCGTACTGACATGTTCGCGTACACACCAAACACTTATGCCAACAGGCATGCAATAAATACTGATAGCAGTCAAATGGTTACGTAGTACTCGCTAACGTAGGCTGGGTAAAGTCTTCCAACTAAACTTAATTAGGACTCTTAAAACTACACTTT